TAGAGACACAAAATTCCCTTCCGAGTCCTCCCTAGATGGGGCATAAGCCTCTGCCTCTACCTTTCCCTGGTTCTCCCTTTCCTTTAGAGTTGTTAATTGATATACATGTTGCAAAACAGTTAAGAGTCATGTTAGTCATTGGAGGACACCATAGAAGCAGTGGAGTTTCAAGTTTGCAGCATGCAGTAGGTAGGGTACAAGTGCGGTCCGTAAAGAGGAAGTACGGTCTGCATAATTTCAAGTTCTGTCCGCACTTCAGCATAGTTGTGCCAAGTCCTTAGAGAGAAGTCACTGATGGAGAGTGCGTACTCCATCTGCAGCCGCAAAAATTCAACTGCAGTCCACACAATTACTTTTGCGGTCTGCACTTGGGGGTAAAAGTACTCAGGACCTCAGAGAAGAAGTTCTCTGATTGTCAGTGCGAACCTCCATTTGCGGCCACAATCAACTAGCCTTCAAGTTATCAAATCAGAGGTTTGCGGATCACACAATTTCAAGTGTGGTCCGCACAATGAGGGCCATAGTCTTTTTACGTAGGTCATGCAATTATGTGTTCTATCCTACTAAGTAACATGGTAAGGACATGATATTCAACAACCCAACCCTATCTAAGCATGCTTTGACAAATACCCAATGTTAAACTACCCCACATAGACACATTAAAAGGATGCAATAACAGATGGCCAAAAAGGAAGTTAAAAAGCCAAAATAAATTCAAAAAATAAAAACAAAAAGATTTGAAATGATGCATACTAGAGTGTGCTAGTGTGGTAAGATCAATAAAAGTGTGATATGTTGTTTGTGATCACAAAGTGCAAGCAGGGAACCTTTTAGAGCAACAATGTAAGAGTGGAAATGGTGAAAAGTGTAAAAGGTGGGGTTACTATTGTATTTATACTCAAAGAATAGTGAGGGTGAAAGAGGGAGAGTGAGGCCGCACAATTCCAAGTGCGATCCGCACTTTGTTACCTGGGCAGAAGGGAAGCGTGCAGTTGTGCGGTCCGCACTTTTTCAAGTGCGACCACACTTCTGTTAACTTAGTTCCAGCTACTTCTATGATAATGCTCTTTTGCGACCACATAATTTATGATGGTCCACAAACTCATTCTGCACTATTGGGAGAAAAGTTCAGAGGACCTTCAATTTAATACCTGAACCGATCCTTGCAATTGCGATACGCAGATGAAATCTGCGGCCGCGCAAAATATTCTACGGTCAGCATTCCTTCTTCTGTGGCCACACTTGAAAAAGTATGGTCCGCATTTTGCCCTGTGTGACATAACTTCAGCTATCATTTCAATATCTAACACTGATCCCTGTAGCACACTTCAAATCAACTTAAAAACAATATCTAACTAAAAGAGAAAAAGGAAAAGAACTTGGGTTGCCTCCTAAGAAGTGCCTTATTTAACATCGTGGCACGACGCAATGTCATATCATCCTAAAATGAAGTAAAGAATTGCCACCACGTAGCTCTCACCAACTTTCCCCAAATAATACTTCACCCGATGACCATTGACTCGAAATATTTTATTGTTTTTCTTCTTCAAGTCCAAAGCACCAAAGGGGGTCACACCGACAATTTCAAATGAACCACTTCACATTGACTTGAGCTTCCTGGGAAACATTCTCAACCTTGAGTTGAACAACAACACTAGATCACCGGCCTTGAACTCTTTGTTCCACATATACTTATCATGAAGATATTTCATCTTCTCTTTGTACAAGGACGAATTTTCATATGCATGGTACCGGAACTCATCTAATTCATTCAAGTGTGTAACTCGCAAGTTAGCGGCTACATCCCAATCAAGATTCAATTTCTTTCAGGCCCATATTGCATTTTGCTCTAGTTCCACTGGAAGATTATTGGCTTTTCCGAACACCAATTGGTATGGAGACATTCCGATAGGTATTTTGTAAGCCGCTCTATATGCCCATAGAGCATCATCAAGCTTTTTAGACCAATCCGTCCGATTTGTATTCACCATCTTGGACAAAATATCCTTTATCTCCCGGTTATAGACTTTCACTTGGCCACTAACTTGTGGATGATAGGGAGTTGTCACTTTGTGAGTGACACCATATTTGCCAAGTAAAGTTTCAAAAGCTTTATTGCAAATATGTGACCCTCCATCACTTATGATTGCTCGCGGAGTCCCAAACCTTGTAAAAATATTCCTCTTCAAGAAAGCCACCACACTTCTAGCTTCATTATTGGGTAAAGCAACGGCTTCAACCTATTTAGACACATAATTTACCACGACCAAAATGTAGGTGTTTCTATAAAAACTCATAAAAGGTCCCATAAAGTCAATACCCCAAACATCAAAGATATCAATCTCCAAGATGGTTGTAAGGGGCATCTCATATTTCTTTGAAATTCCTCCGGCCCGTTGACATTCATCACATCTTTTCACCAAATCATTTTCATATTTGTAAAGTACAGGCTAATAGAAATCACAACTTAGGACTTTAGCCGCCATTCTTGATCCAGTATGATGACCACCATATGGCGAAGAATGACAAGCCCCAAGAATATCACCCTGCTCTTCCTCCGGCACACACCTTCTAATCTCCCCATCCGTGAAAATTCGAAAAAGGTATGGTTCATCCCAATAGTATTCTTGACAATCTCTCTTGAGCTTCTTTTTTTGGTTTGAAGAGAACCCATCCGGAATGATACCACTCACAAGAAAATTTTCCAAATCTGCAAACCATGGTACCTCTTTCATTGAAAGTGCCAAAAGTTGCTCATCGCGGAAAAAGTCATTGATTGCCAAAAGTTGCTCATCGGAGAAAGAGTCATTGATTTCAAGACCATCATGTGGCCTCCCATACTCCTCCAAACGAGACAAGTGGTTTGCCACTTGATTTTCACTTCCCTTCTTATCTTGGATGTCAATACCAAACTCTTGCAACAAAAGCACTCATCTCATCAATCGAGCTTTAGATTCATTTTTACTCACAAGATAGTGAAGCACCGCATGATATGTGCAGACAATAACTTTGGCACCCATCAAGTATTGGCAGAACTTCTCAAGAGCAAATACAATAGCAAGGAGATACTTCTCCGTAATGGTATAATTGACTTGAGCACTATTCGTGTTCTTACTATCATAGTAGAACAGATGAAAAACTTTATTGATATGTTGCCCCAAAACAGCCCCAACTGCCATATTACTTGCATCACACATGAGCACGAACGACAAACTCCAATTTAGAGATGTAATGATAGGATTAGTTGTCAACTTGATCTTCAATTGTTCAAAAGCTCTCATACAATCATCATTGAAATGGAACTTGGCATCATTTTCAAGGAGTTTGCATAAAGGATTCACCACTTTAGAGAAATCTTTGATAAATCGATGGTAGAATCCCACATGGCCCAAGAAACTCTGCACACTCTTTAACGAGGTAGTGGTGGAAGCTTAGAAATAACCTCAATCTTTGCCTTATCCAATTCAATACCATTCTTTGAAATCTTATGGCCAAGGATAATGCCTTTCTTAACCATGAAATGACATTTCTCCCAATTGAGTATCAAATTTGTTTCCTCACATCTAGCCAACACTTTGTCCAAATTAGCAAGACAATCATCAAAAGAATCTCCAACCAAAAAAAGTCATACATGAAGACCTCAAGGTAGTCTTCCACCATGTCCGTAAAGATAGACATCATACACCATTGAAAAGTCATCGGCGCATTGCACAATCCAAAAGGCATCCGTTTGTAAGCAAAAGTACCATACGAACATGTATGGTTTTATCTTGATCTTCTGGAGCAATAAGAATTTGGTTGTAACTCGAGTAATCATCAAGAAAACAATAGAAATCACGGCAGTCCAACCTATCAAGCATTTGATCCATGAAAGGTAGAGGAAAGTGATCCTTCCTTGTGACTTTGTTGAACTTATGATAATCCATAAAAACTCTCCAACCAGTGACCGTTCTTTAGGAATAAACTCATTCTTATCATTGGTAACAACTGTCATGCCCCCTTTCTTTGGGACACATTGGACCGGATAAGTCCAAGAACTATCGAAAATAGGGTAGACCACCCCGGCATCCATCCAATTGATAATCTCCTTTTTGACCACCTTTTGCATAACTTTTGTAATGACCCGACCTGTCGTTTTGAGAACTTATGTCTCATTCGGCAGCATAAGATCCTGAGTAGCTTCATATTATGTGTACTTACTTGTATGAGTGGTTGAATTCAGTTACCGAATGATTCAGAGTCAAATCAAAAGAAGGATGCAAGTTTTGGAAGCTTAAGCGGTAAGAGTATACTGTAATTTGACTTTTGTGTAAATGGATCAGGAATGGATTTTGGATGATTGCAACAGCTTCACATGGTGATTTTGGACTTAGGAGCGTGTCCGGATTGTGAATTTGAGGTCTGTAGCTGATTTAGGCTTGAAATGGCGAAAGTCGAATTTTTTGAGATTTTGACCGGAAGTGAATTTTTTGATATCGGGATCGGATTCTGATTCCGAAAGTTGGAGTAGGTTTGTAATGTTGAATATGACTTATTTGCAAAAATTTGAGATCAATCTGACATGGTTTAATAGGTTTCGGCATCGGTTGTAGAAATTTGAAGTTTCAAGTTCATTAAGTTAAATTGGAGGTTGATTCGTGTTTTTAGCAATGTTTGATGTGATTTGAGGACTCGACTAAATTTGTATGGTGTTATAGGATTGGTTGGTATGTTTGGTTGAGGTCCCGGGAACCTCGGGTGAGTTTCATATGCTTAGCGGATCAAAATTTGGACTTGTGTAGTTGCTGAAGCTTTCAAGCTTCTGGTGTAATCGCACCTGCGGTGGGGTGGCCGCAGTTGCGGACACGCACGTGCGAGAGGCCAAGCACAGAAGCGGGATTGAGGAGATGGCCAGGGGTCACAGGTGCGAGGAAATTTCTGCATCTGCGAGCCTGTAGATGCGCTTGAAGTTCCGCAGATGCGGAGAGTGAGCTGGAGGTAGAGTCCGCAGAAGCGGGCATTTATCTGTAGGAGCGGGCACGCAGGTGTGGCCCATTGCCCTCAGATGCGGTCCAGGCCTGGCTAGCTGAGTTCGCAGGTGCGAACGATTTCTCGCAACTGCGAGAGCGCAAATGCGGAAGTCTTGGGCAGAATCATATAAGTCGAGGGTTTGGCCATTTTCTTCATATTTTGAGTTTTAGACTTCGGTTTTGGGAGCTTCTTTGTGGGTTTTTCAAGAAAATCGATTGGGTAAGTGTTCTTCACCTAGAATTTACTATATTCCATGATTTTATCTTTATTTCTATCATTTAATTAGTGTTTTTGAGTGAGGAAAATGGGGATTTTTGAAGAAAACTTTCAAAATGAAAAATCATGATTTGAGGGACGAAATGGTATCGGAATTTGATAATTTTAGTATGGTTGAACTCGTATCGGAATGGGTATTCGGGTTTTGTGAAATTTGTCGGGTTCCGAGGTGCGGGCCTGGGGGTCGACTTTTGGGTCGATTTTTATATTTTGACAAAGATTGAGGCATTTTGATCCGGAATAGTTTCTTATGAGTTTTATTTGTGCTTTGAAGTTATTTTAGTTAGATTTGAGCCGTCCTTAGGTCATTTCACCCGAAAAGTTCATTTTAGAGTATCGGTCGGTCTTCTTTAAGGTAAGTATCTTGCCTAACTTCGTATGGGGGAACTACCCCTTAGGATTTGAGTCTTCTATGCTAATTGTAGTCCGTGTACGCGAGGTGACGAGTACGTGCTCGGACTTATTTGTGAAAAATTGGCCTTTTAGGGTTCTTAGGTCCTTGTATTCACTAATTATGCAGTTGTTGACTTATAATTGCGTTTCTTAATTACTAGTTTCACTTCTACCTACTTTAATTAGAATTAATTGCTTCATGATCCATTCTTGTTGTTCATTTGATTCATATGTGCCTTAGCTGAAATTGTTATCTCTTCTATTGCCATGTTGTCTTTTCCCTAACCGCTTATCTTTATTTGAAGTTATAATTATCTCTTCTGCAATTGTTCATCCTTAATTGAGGCTATGATTATCTTTATACTACTTATCCTTAATTGAATTTGTTGTGTCTCTTTAGTAATGGCCCAACCTTAAAAGAAGTTTAGATATCCTATATCTTAGTTGACTTATCCTTATTTGGAATTATTCGACTTATGTTAGCTCCCTTATTGTTGAACTGTACCTTGTAGGATCGTTGTTACCTATTATTTCTTCCCTGTTGAGCTATTCTTGTTATGAATAACATTCTCTATTGTGGCTACTCCTTGTGAATTAGTTCCTATGTTCCTTCGAGTTCTGGAATTTCTGAGTTGATTTATTTGTCGTACCCTTGTATTAGTGTTATTGTTGTTGTTGTTGTACTTTTTGTTGTGATGCACGAGGTTTCTGTCGTGCGGCTGTTATTATGATGCATGAGGTTTCTGCCGTGCGGTTGTTGTTATGGAGTTGCACGAGGTTTCTGCCGTGCTATTGTTACTATTGATATTTGCACATGCGGCGTGACAAGGCAGGATATATATATGTGGGTTGTGCATGTGGCAAGACAAGGTGAGAACATTATTATGCATGTGTGGCGAGACAAGGTGGGCTATGTCAGGAATTGATTTGTGATGACTTGTGATGGCCTGGGGGCATTCTTGTTGTTGATGTTTGTGTAGTGGTACACTTACCTGTGTGAGCTTTATCTTGTGGAAAGTTGTGAGAAAACATTCTATGTGTTGTTCATTTCTTTTCCTATACTTACTAGCTGGCATGAACTATGTTAGGACACTTGCACAAGCATACACGTAGTTGAGTACTCTTATCGATTAAGAGGTTTTCTTGATATTGTCGAGTATAGATGCACACCCTTGTTTACTTACCTTCTATGTGAGCATGGCTCTATTTGGCACGTGGGTTGTCAGTGTGGTTATGAAGTGTAATGAGGGCACTTGATGTCAAGTGTTAGGGTTCAGGTATTGGGACCCGTGAGTTATGAATAGTCTGAGGTTCGGTACCTCGTGGAGTTTATTGACTAAACCCTGGTGTGAAAGTGGTCGTCTTGTTGAGTTGTTACCTGTCCTTTCTTTATCTGTGATTATCGAATTTAGGCTGTGTTTCCGTTCGTTCTTCTATGTCATTATCATGGTGTTCCGCTGATAGTTGTTGTACCCCTTTCTTACTGAAATTTACCGTATTAATTGCTACTTCGCGTAGTCTTTATGTAGATATCATACTCTGTTGTTTCTATACTTATACTTGTTCAGATTATTTAGTCCAGTAGGTGTCTTGACTGTTCCTCGTCACTACTCCACTGAGGTTAGTCTTGATACTTGCTGGGTATCGCCGTGGTGTACTCATACTACACTTCTGCACATTTGTTTTGTGCAGATCCAAGTATTTCGAAGTCAGTTGATCATTAACTAGCTGTGCGAATTTTTGCTGTGGAGACTTAAGGTAAACCTACTGCTGCGTTCGCAGGCTTCAGAGTCACCTTCCTATTTTGTATTCACACTGTTTTACCTATTTCCAAGCAATTGTATTTCGAAATTTGTAGCAAACTCTGTAGAGCTTATGAGTTGTACTACTGGTTTTGGGAATTATATATTTTATAGAGATTTCCATTTCAAAAATTGTTAGATGTTATTTAATTATTGTTGTTATTCAGTAAATGTTAGGCTTATCTAGTCCCTAAGACTAGGTGCAATCACGATACCCAACGAAGGGAAAATTGGGTCGTGACAACTTCATTGAGTCTTCTTTAATGTCCAATGGACGGTTTGGAACCATCATCCAATTTGATTTTATGCATGCAAAATGCGGGGCTTATACCCCGAATATCCGCCAAAGTCCACCCAATAGATTTCTTCCTCTTTTGCAACATCGCTAATATGGAGTCAACCTGTACGTTAGTCAAACAAGAGGAAAGAATAACCAGTAAAGTAGAAAAAGGGCCAAGAAATTCATACCGAAGGTGAGGTGGCAATGGTTTTAATTCCAAGGTTGGTGGCTCTTCAATTGAAGGCTTTGTGGGAGGATTCTTCTTATTCTCAAGATCCAATGATAACTTTTGGGGTGCATAGTTGTAATACCCCATTCCTTGCAAAGAATTCATACATTCCATGAAACTATCCATCTTATCATCATCAAAGTTGAGCAAAATGGCTTCCAACCTATCACCAACATTGATTGTAGCACTAGTATCATCAATAATGACATCAGTCACCAAGTCCACAAAGGAGCACACTTCATTGCTATTTGGTTGACGTATAGACTTGTACACATGGAATACCACTTGTTTATCACCAACCCAAAAAGTGATTTCTCCGGCTTCGATATCATAAAGGGCCTTACCCGTAGCAGGGAAAGGCCTCCCAAGAATGATAGGCACTTCATACTCAACCTCACAATCTAAAATCATAAAGTCTGCTGGAAAGATAAATTTATCAACTCGGACCAAAACATCCTCAATCACTCCAATGGCCTCTTCATAGAACAATCGACCATTTGCAACCTTATAGATGTGGGTATTGGTTTCCCAATCCCCAAAGTTTTAAATACCGAGTAGGGAATCAAATTGATACTCGCCCAAAGATCACAAAGAGCTTTAGCAAAATCGCCACTTCCAATAGTACAAGGAATTATAAAAGCACCGGGATCCTCTAATTTGGGAGCCATGGAGTGAATAATTGCATTCACTTGATGAGTGACCTTAATGGTTTCAAAATTTATCGACCTCTTCTTAGTTACAAGATCTTTCATAAATTTGCATAACCGGGCATTTGTTCCAAAGCTTCCACCAATGGCACATTGATAGAGAGACCTTTCATCATTTGAATAAACTTCTTGAATTTATTCTCACCATTTTTCTTAGCAAGCCTTTGAGGATAAAGGGGTGGAGGCTTTGGCAATTGTGCCTTAGTCTTTTGCACTACTGGTTCTAGTATGTCAATAATGTGTTCCCTAGATAGGTTCACCTCTTCTTTGGTCTCCTCCACACTATCATCAATATCAATCTGAACGTAATCATGTATTTGAACATCATTTGGTGGGATTTCCTCCTCTTGGATCACTTTGTCATCATCTACAAGGTTCGTTTTATTTGAGGTGGGTGCATTCTCGCCTCTTCCACTTCTTGTGATAACCGTCATAACATGCCCCGTATTATTACCACCCTTTGAGTTCACTACCGTGTCACTTGGTAATGCACCCTTAGCACGAGTGTTAAGAGCGTGAGAGATTTTCCCTATTTGAACTTCAAGATTACAAATTGATGTGGTATATAAGGCAAGTTGGGAATCTGAATCCCGCATTCTTTTCCATCATTTGCTTGAACAGGTTCTCAATACGGCCCATTTCAGTATTTGAAGAACTTGAACTGTGGGAATGATAGGGAGGTGGGTTGCTCGGTTGTTGGTACATTGGGGGCCTTTAAAAACCTGAACCTCGATTTGCATGATTATTATTATTTCCCCAATTTCCTTGATTGTGGCCTCCCCAATTCTATTGGTTATTATTATTGTTATGCCAATTCCCTTAATTGTCAGAATCCCAATTGCCATGGTTATTTTGAGAACGTCATTGATTTTGATTGGAGCCTTGAAAGTTTCTTTGTTTCCCTTGGTAATTGCTCACAAATTGTACCTCTTCTTCTTGCTCTTGATAAAAATTATCTTGGTCATAGCTACCATCATCTTGTGAATAATTCTTCACGTGCAATTGAAATTGTGGACCTTTAGTCCTCTTCTTGTTGGCCAAGACATTTACTCCCTTCATAGCATGAACTTCTTTAGGAGCTTGGGTTTGATGAAGTTGAGCCTCAACAAGTTGAGTCATGGTTTTCATCAATTCGGCAATAGCTTGCCCATGGTCATGAACTTTTTATGAAGATGGATCATGTTGGGATCACCTTGGGGAACATTAGCTCGAGATTTCCAAGCCAAAAAAGCTTTCGTCATCTCATCAAGAATCTCACATGCCTCCATATAAGATGTTGTCATAAAATTTCCTCCAGCCAATTGATTAACCACATATTGATTCGTAGTATTAATACCACAGTAAAAAGTTTGTTGGATCATGTTCTCAGTCATATCATTGTTCGGACATTCCTTCACCATTGTCTGATATCCCTCCCAAATTTCATACAAAGGTTCATTGGGCTCTTGCTTGAAAGCCAATATTTCATCACGTAGAGTAGTCGTGTGCCCAGGAGAGAAGAACTTTGAAATATATTTCACCCACAATTCATCCCAAGTATGGATAGAATGATTAGGCAAGCATTCCAACTAATCCAAAGCCTTACCCCTTAGTGAGAAGGGAAAAAGCCTTAACCGCAAAGCATCTTCCAAAATATTTATTTGTTTGCTCCCCCAATACGTATTGCCCTGGTGATATAACCTCGTTGCTTGAGCAAAATGAGTATCACATTGGTAATTTGAAAGTTTCCCGCCTTAATGTGAGGGGGGGACTATAGCACTTGCATAACCTTCATTAGAAAAAATTCGATGTTGCGCCGCTTGTGGTTGTGATGGTGGCGGAGGCGGGGGAGGTGGAGGCACATTATCTTGTTACCAACGTCCTAGATGACTTTTTTTTGGAGCTTGAGGCATTTCATCAAGTTATTCCTCTTCGCCATTGACCTCTCCCAATGGCAAGTTTCCAAGTTCATTGTTCGCCATTTGAAACCTACAATCACTTCAACAAATTACAATTATGAAAGTAAAAGAAGATACTTCAAGAAACAAACTCAAGCATAGAGCTAACACTGTAAACTCCCTGGCAACGGTGCCAAAAATTGATCACGTCCAATTCACACCCCATTAAGGATTATAAAATGGCAGTTACAATAATAATACCCAATGCTAGTCGGGATCGAATCCACAGGGAGTTTGAAGTAGTGTTAAGGTAAACACTCAAGAAAAGAAACTCGAAATAACCAAATTTATCTTTCAGACAAAGGTGGGTAACTATTATCTAAATTAACTGCTAAGAGATTTAACTAACTAGTGAGCAAATAATGATTGAAATATTTTTGATATTTTTGTTAAATAGGGAATAGCCTAGGGTTGTAACATTCACCTTCGTGTAAACCTAATGGGTAGAGTAAATCTATGCTTTCTTAGTACATCGGGGTTTGTTATGACTCTCAATGCTCAAGTACCCACTCAATACCTCTTAGTTAAAGAGTGATTATGCCCAAATTGTCTTTCTTAAGACCAAATAGGTAGCAATCTAAACAATCGAATATGACCTATATCTACTTCAAATCCTTTAATCAAACTAAACTAGTTCAATTTCTTATTAGCCAAGTTTTTCTAGACTAAATCCCTCTTTCTCAAGTAAGAATGAAGTCAAATAGGCATGAATCAATATTTGCAGCTATTAATTCTAAGTATAAAGCATAAACAAGGCTAAATAACATCCACCCAATCAATAGCAAGCATTAATATTAAATACCTATAAGTTTAACACACTAGGGTTGGATATAACCCTAGATAAAATCTAGCTACTCATAATAATTGACATAGAAAAGTAAAAAAGAAGAAGTAGTTGAAGACATAAAACTAGAATTAAAGTGGAAAATTAATAGGTCTTCTCTAATTGTTGCTCCAAATTGCCCAAAATGGCTAAATATAACCGCTAGCTCCTGCTACAATACAAAAGTTGCCCTGAAAAAGTGTTCCACCTCTATTTATAGTGCTCAAATATTCGCTGACAAAAATATCCTTCGGAGGGTTCTGCGGCCGCACAATTACATCGGCGATCCGCACTTTATTTTGTTGCTCTTGCAAGTGCTTTGCAGTTGGAGGGATTCTGCGGCCGCGAATAAGCTTCTGCGACCACACTTCAGCTTTTGTGGCCGCACAATTTGATTGCGGACCGTACTTTGAGAAGGCTTCATACCTGTTCAATTATAACCTCTCTGATTTTTCAATCTTCATCACTGCGAATATCAAGCTCAACCACACTTTTTGGCCTGCAGTCCGCACTTCTGCCTGATACCCGTGAAGCTTCAGTTTCTCTTTTGCTGCCGCATACCATTTTCTGCGGCCCGCATTTGCTTTTTTGGCTGCAGATGGAATTCAGCGGACCATACTGTTCTTTGTACTTTTCCTTTTGATTGTTCTGAGCTGGAATATCTCCTCTTTCAGTTAGGTTTCTTGTTGAGCTTACATTCTACATCACACCTAGAATTCACACATTTTCATTAGATTTGGGAGGAAAAATCACTATTTTCGGATTAAAAACTAAAGCAAGAAAGTACTAATAAGTGGTTAAAATCCACACTTATCAATTGTACCATGTCATTTCCTTTACCATGCCTTCCATGCCTTAGATAGATTGCTTATTCTTTGACTAGTTACTTTTAAGTTATTTCCTATATTGAATTGTTGAGATATTGGGTGTTGAGAATATGGAACTTGTGATTGGTTGTTGGCTCTAATCGTGGAAATATTCTCGTATGACGACTAGAATTCAATATTATCATTGAAGCGTATTTACTTCCCACCTTGCTTGATATTTGTGTTGTTGTTGTTGCTTGGTGAGGAAGAGTGAAAAGCACGAAGGATGTTGTCGTACCTCATATGCATATTGATGTCATTGATTGAGTGAATGTGAGGTTAAAAACATGAAGGGTGATGTCGTGCACATGCTTATTTATCATGAGAGGTTAAAGAACGAAGGGTGATACTGTGCATATGTATATTATGATCATGTGAGGATGAGAGTAAAAGCACGAAGGGTGATATTGTGCATATGTATTTTATTATGATCATGTGAGGATGAGAGTAAAAGCACGAAGGGTGATATTGTGCATATGTATTTTATTATGATCATGTGAGGATGAGAGTAAAAGCACGAAGGGTGATGCCATGCACTTCCATTTATGATATATGGTGAGGAAGAGAGTAAAAACACGAAGGGTAATGTCATGTAATTTGCTAATTCTATTGCCTTGATCTTGATAATTGAAATGTGAACTTGGCTTGATGGTTTCAGGGTTATTGAGGTTTACTAGGTGATTCTTATTTATTGTTCCACTTATTGCCCTTTCTACATGTCCCAATCATGTTGTTACTCTTGACGCTTTATTTGTTATTATGTTGCTTTATGTATAAAATTTCACATATTTTTAGTAGGTGTCTTGTCTTAGCCTTATCACTACCTCGTCAGGGTTAGGCTTGACACTTATTGAGTAGATTGGGTCGGTTGTACTCATACTACACTTCTTGTGCGAATTTTGACATTGGTACCAACGGAGTCCTGAGAGGTCCTTAGCGTATACCAGACAATGATTCAAGGTAGAGCTGCATCCCGTTCGCAGACCTTGGAGTCACTTTCTATTTTTTTGTACTGTTTCCAATTTATTTCGAACAGTGATATATTTTATTCAAAACCTTGTTAGCTGGATCTAGACACCCATGTACTTGTGACACCAAACCTTGGGGTGGTCACGTTTGTTATTGGTTCTAGAACTTATTATGTTATCATAGAATTACTTACGCTATGTTATTCATTCAGCTATCAAATATTTATTACTTTTCTGTTTGCATTATCATGTTGTGTTGGCTTGTCTATCAAGCGGTGTTAGGCTCCATCACGACCCCAATTGGTTGGAATTTAGGGTCGTGACAATTAGAGACTCTAAGGCACAAGGATTCATCATTCTTTCCTCAACTCAACACCCGAGTTTGGATTGAATTCATGTTTTCTTATTCTTTAACTCTATTTGTGATGACTTTCTCCATGATTATGGAGTAGTTTACTTTAGGGTATGACAAATATGGTGTTTTGATTGATATTTGTGGATTTTAACTCTAGTTATTTTGCATGAATTCATTTATGAAGCTTTGAATTGATTGTAATTTTGTTTACTAAATTATTTAATCGAAAGAGAAATATTTTGGGTGATTATATTTGTATTATTTTGTTTGGTTTAATTTAGCGATTCTTATAAGTAATCGAAAGAGCTTTTTGAATTATTGATTAACCCAAGTTAGGAGAATATTCAAGAGACGTTTTCCTAAAGACTAGTTTATTAATTTATTCTTGCATACATTCACAGTGCTTTATATTAGCTCATCTCATAGAATTCAAATTTAATCGAGAGAGGAGTCTTGACTATATGATTGAACTAATCATCTAGTAAATTCTTGAGAATCATTAGAACATTAGAAGTGAATTGAACTAGAGTTAGATCCCGAATAGATATCTTGCACATATCCTGTCGCGGCCCTTATTTCTCCCATTGATTATTTTTGTGTTGCTCAACTCTTGTCTCTCCATGATCAATTATTAATTGCTTTAGTTT